TCTTAGGATTTGTGCATTCTTTGTAACCCTCCAGACAGCTGCACCTCATTCTAAAGACATTATGTATTTTTCCTTAGAGAAAGACATCAAACAAGGAAGTCCGTGGTGGGCTGGAAGAAGTGATAAGGGTACATGAGCCGACAGCTTACTTCAGGAAACATCTTTCAGAGTCTATTTTCCAAGGAAGTCAATTTGACCTGGTGTTCCTCTCACCCAAGACAAAGAAAACAGCCCTCCAGGAGTTGCCCAGCTGGCACAAAGGTGGTGTTCAATAAATGCTGGCTGACTCTGAACAGGCAGACCAGATCACAGCAACTACTCAGCTTATTCTGTTTGTTTGTTTGTTTAAAAAAAGGGGGGGGCAGGTTTTCTCATCAGCTTTCTTTCAGTTTTCCAGTTATCCATTTGCTGAGGATGCCACAGCTGGCTCCCCAACCCAAAAGCCACTGACAGCAAATCTCTCAAATGAGTCACAGACAATGCATGACCAAGCAACTGAATCTAGTCAGCCCCTCCTTTATTCTCTGTGGCTGACATTAATTAAGAAGCACAGGCAACATGCTATCACATTGAACTAAACAGTTTTTCCATTTTAAAAGAAAATCTTTACTAGTGTCAAATTTAAAATTCCACTACTGTATCTATTAGAGGCCAAAACAAAATGCAATTTTTCCATTATATTAAAAAATCCTCATTAAAGATAACTTGGAAAAAAGACAAAACAATCAGCCAGAAAAAGAGAAGAGTGGAAAACAATCAGCCATAAGACCTACCACCCAAAAACAGCAACTCTCAAAATTTTGGTTCATTTAAGGGCTTTCTGCCCCCTAAGCATATGATTAGTTTTGCAAGTTTTGCCTAACTGTAATCATATAGTATATGCTCATCGCATCTGCAACTTGTGTCACTTAAGTTATACCATAAGCATTTCCCCACTTTTTTTTTTCCTGAACCTTGTATAACTGCATAGATGGTAAAGATTTTTCATTAAACCAAGAAATATCACTTGCTTTTTTTCACGGACACTACTTTAGTAAAAACTGAGAATTTCCAAAGTTCCTGGGGCTACTAGAGCTAAGATACATGAAAAATGCCCAGACACACAGGAAGTTTTTAAGATAATTAACTGACTTGCAAGTGACGAAGAGAATATTTACTATAGTCATATCTGGAAAGATACAAAAGAAATTAAATTCAGCCTCTGTTCCCAACGAATTTTTAATACCATTGAGAAGATAAAATGTATTTATACCCAATAACTGAAACCCAGTATACAACTGTCCTGGCTCTTCAGGAGCGGGGGATACTTCATTCATGTCTGCACCCTTAGCATGAAGAACAGTACCGGGCATATAACAAATATGCAGTAAATGACTGTTGTACTAAACTGAACTACAAACTAAGAGCTATGCTTATATGGAAATAGGAAAGGTCACTGTGAGCTGAGGTTAGGTTAAGCAGAGGAGCAGCATGAATATAGCAGAACGTGACTCTGGAAATAGTTTACAGAGAGACGGCTGAACCACAGAGGCTCTGGGATTCTGTGAAAATGAAAGATAACATAAGAAAAAATGTTTGTATTATAGTCTTAATTTATTAAACAGTTTGAGGTTTCTACACAATTAACACTGAAACCCCTATTGAATATACACCAACTATTCATGGGAAATATAATATATAACACATAGTAGATTCTACCTAAAAACAAAGAAAATACACCAACACAAAATACTACAGCATTCCTTTAAATCAGAAACAAAGTCTAATTCTCAGGAAGCTTTCTGTATTTCACAAGTGGCAAAGAGGCAGCAAATTAAGACTTTAGATCTCCACATACAGTACCATGGTGGATACTGTCCTTGCTAAACTAGGTGTAAAAGAATGTGCTTACCAAAACTTTCTTTCAGGATCTCTTTATACTCCAGTGAAGCTATTTGCATATATGGTTAAATCTGTATTCAACCCTAACACCATCACACACACCACCTGATTCTAAACCTAACTTAAAAAAGAGAATCCAGCTTCATGAGTAGTGTCTTATTCAACATCCTAACTTCATTCACACACATATTTTCTTTTCTTTTACCCCACTTGTGCTTTGAAAAAATTTAAAGAATTTATGGAGAAGTGATCTGCTAATATCACATCTCTAACAGCTGCTAGCTGGATATACTAAATCCATTATTATATGTCCATGTCAGAAAATGTGCTTAATTACAAATCTGGTTTCTTTCAAAGAAACTGTTTTAAGCCTAGCCTACCAGGCTTCCTTAAGAGCAAGTTATATAGACCTTAGAGGCTGGGTGTAGGATAATTTTATCTGGATGTAATACTGCAATTACTTATAATGAAGTATCTCTAATAGCTATCCATTCAGTCTCGGCAGCCTGAAGCACTCAAGAAGAAATGCCTATCAACAAGTCATTTGGGAATGAACAGCTGATTTGAGAAACTGCATGCTACAGGGCAGGTGTTCTTTGTTTTTCTGAACACACACACATACAACACACACAAGTCTGATAGTAATTATATCTGCCAAATAATTTAAAAAGAATTAAAACAATATAAAATATGTCATTCTAAAAAATGTTTCAGAATATTTTTCAAAAACTTTCCTGGAAGTTTCAATTTTCAGACTTTGCTAAACTTCAGCACACAAATTGTCTAATCCCAAGAATACGAACTGTTACTGTTTTAATTCTAAATGAAGCCCTTCTCTCTAGGATGTCAAAAGATTTGGAAACCAAAAAGTAATTACTATATAATCACCCAAAAAAAGACATGTGGTGTAATATTCATAAGGTTGAATTGCACCTATCACCAATACAACAAAAGAGTATTTTATATATACAAACCACATAGCTTGGAACATTTGATAAACTGTTAAACTAATGCATAACAAGAAATCCACTGTCAAATGCAATACAAGTAACCAGAAATTAGATTAACAAAAATAGTTCAAGATTTCTAAATTTAAAACACATGGGCTTATCACCCTGAGCAAGTTACTGAATCTCTCTGTACTTGTTTCTTCATCCACAAAATGGGCAAAATAATAGTAAAAACCTCTGAGAGTTATTATCAACCTCAAGTGAATACATATTAAACTGTTATAACAGAGCCTGGCAAAGGCTAATAAAAAACATATTATATCGGGAACAAATTTTTTTCAAATGACAATGCTGAAAAATAATAGTAATTGAAAAGAATAACGATAAAAATAAAAAGACACAGTTATCATGACCTATGAAAGAATAGTTTCAAGGTATCACAGTATGTTTACAGTACATACAAAATAACAGGAAAAACAGCTCCGTACTAAAAAAAAAAAAAAAAAAAGAAAGAAAAAAAAGAGAGCTGCCTCCCTTCAAAGTGACTGTCATCAGCCCTACTTTGCAAAATCTTACTCTTCCTCCTATGTTCTACCAGTAAATCCCAGTCCTTAATATCAATAAACTCACAAAACCTGCACCGCCAGGAGAGCAAAATAAAGTTAAAGATATGTGAGGTCCTTAGCATCTCCTAGTTTTATTAACAAGCCACCAAGTTGAAATTCATTCCTAAACTAAATTGCCAAATGTGTCTGCAATAAAAACTGCAAACTTTCATGTGAACAGAACTTTTCAACAATAGGGAGTTGTTCCAGTCTGTGAATAGGACAGTGTCAGTGTGACCAACAAAGCTGGGAGCTGGACATTCCTGACACCCTTGTCCCCTGGCTAGCCTTTGATCATTTACATCTCCCAGCCACATGTTTTTGGAAATCACTTTCAGGCAAAGTATATGGACAAAATCTATACCCTGAAACTGATCCCTCACCATAGAATCTTGTTTACACAGCTTCTAGGACCCTCACTTTTATCTACCACCATTATGAACATTCCCCAAGAATGAGCTTCAAACACAGGAGTGCTTTGTCTTCCTAGTCTGTCCACCCCCACTCCCAGTCACTTCGTACTTTAATTTGTATATTTTGGAAAACATCATGGGATGACAACAGAAACTCAAACAATAAAATGACCTAAGAACTGAAAAGGCCTGCAGATAGTGCTACGGATCTGGTTGCCTGTGGATGCCCACCACAGAAGTGTGGTAGTGCTTTATGGAAACGTGAGTTTATGACTCACTCAGAACAGTCTTGGAAAGGAGATTTGACTTGGTTCATAGTTCTCTTACCTGAAAATGGGTTAATAAAATCCAACTCACACAGTTCTTGTAAGCACTAAATGAGACAAAGATTTCGAAGTGCCCAGTATACAGTTCATTTCCACGAAATACAATCTACTTTATTCTGTCCAACTGTCCTGGGACACACAAATCTAAGAGAATTCCGGACAGTGGAAAAGCCAAGCCTCCCAAGTTTATCAGTGTGACCTCATCAAAATGGCCCAGATGCTATTTCAGGTTAAGGGTCTGCGGGGTCTCCTAGGCCAGGCTGGAGACAAAAGGGATACTTGATTGAGATCTGTGCCATTTTATTTGCCCCGAGGTAAAGCTGGGTTTGCCCGATCAGTTCCTTTGTTTACAGCAAGAAAGAAATGAACAGCAGATCCCCAGAAGGCTATGACCAAGAAGACAGACAGGCCTCGGAGCCGTGCCTCGCTGGTACTTCGCAGGCCCCTCACTATCCACTTCTGGGTAAGGCGCTCGCTCCGCCGTGTCTTCTCCTAAGTTCCGAGCCCACGCCTAAGCTGCCATCCCCTTTCCAGAGAGCTGTGCCCTCCGCCCGGGGACCGGCCCACCGCCCGGAGCGAGCTACCCGTGCCTTGCACGGGTCCTTCGCAGCCCCGCGCCCACCCGCCTGAGACCCCGCCCGGAGGGCCCGCATCCACCCCTTCCCGCCGGGACCCGGGTGTGCGCCGCTCCTCCGGCCGAGTCCCCCGCCTTCCCGGAGCCGGGACCGCTATTCCCGCCTGGAACGACTCCAGCCGCTCCGGGCTCGCTCAACTCCCATCCGCCCCAGATCCTCCCCTCCCAGGGACAGAAACACGCATACTCACCCTTGAAAAGCAGTACTAGGAAGAAGTCGGGCAGCCGGGCGCAGAGCCGGACCGCCGGCCGCCGCCTCAGCGCCATGACTAGGGGAGCTGAGGGGCCGCAGGCTCGCGGCGCAGCTAGGCTTCCCCGTACGCATGCGCCCTGCCTGCTGGGGCCCCTGCTACCCGCCCCTAGTTACCATAGCGACCCCTTGGCCCCGGCACAGCCGTCACCATGGAGACAAAGGAAGCTGAAATATGGTTGCTATGGATGCAGGGATGCACTGGACCCGCGCCCATGCAGTCTCATTCAAAGAATCCGATGGGAAGAGGTAAAGAAGCTTGTTCAAGATTGGGGCAGGGTAAATTTTCCATAGCTATAAAATGAATCCCGCACTACAGATCAAAGAAACACTCAATTAAAACTTGGAAATGAAGCGTTTCCTCACAAATAAGAGTACAATCTAATTGTCTTTGAAGCATTATTGCCTGAACCTCTTTTGAAACCCTGATTCCAAATGCGATGGAAGGAAAAAGCACTGAAATCTATTTAAAACGTAAGCAAGACCAAAAAACAAAAACAAAACAAACAAACAAAACCCCACAAAGCAAGACATACATTAGGTAGTACATAAAACTCATGTCTTCCTAAAATAAACGTAATCCATAGTTTCTGTGGTAGATCAAAAACATGGAGGATACTTTCCTCTGCAGAAAAGCAGGATAATTCTTTGCCTGATTTCCGAATATCAGAAAATGGTAAGGCTAGGGTAGAAAATGGAGCAGAATCTTATGAGGACAACCGGATAAGATGAAAGATAGAATGTACTGGAAACTGGTCCTAAGGATGAAGGAAGTTTTGTGTGTCAGTACTGTGGAAAATTCTTGAAATAGCTTGTATTATATCTAATATAGAAAATACACCCTTGGGGTGCCTGTGTAGCTCAGTGGGTTAAAGCCTCTGCCCTCAGCTCGGGTCATGACCCCAGGGTCCTGGGGTCGAGCCCTGCATCAGGCTCTCTGCTCTGAGGAGAGCCTTCTGTCCCCTCCCCCTCTGCCCTCAGCTCGGGTCATGACCCCGGGGTCCTGGGGTCGAGCCCTGCATCAGGCTCTCTGCTCTGAGGAGAGCCTTCTTCCCCCTCCCCCTCTGCCTGCCTCTCTGCCTACTTGTGATCTCTCTCTCTGTCTCTCAAATAAATAAATAAAATTTAAAAAATTTTTAAAAAAGAAAATACACCCCTAATGCTCCAGAAAACATAGGGTAAAAACAGATTTCTGAGTGTAGTTATTAGTAAAATATGCCAAAGTTTCCAACAACTGATTTTTTTTAATGTTTAATTTAAGGGCTTCATTTTTCATACAGTCACCCTACATATTTTTTAGCATTTTTATTTTTTGCAAAGTAGAACAGTGAGTGTGTGTTGTAGTTTCCATATATACCAAATTACGAATGCCAGGAAACATGAAATAGATTGAGGTTGTTGCCAAGGATATGCTTCAACTGCCACCACTTTATGATCTTCTTTATAAATTTTTATAATTGCTCAAAACTTTGCAATTGTGAATTAATTACATTCTCAAAATCTCATAAAGACAGAATAAAATATTTAAAATAACTCAACAATTTATTATTATTTTATCTTTCCTTTCTTAACCCTTCTTTCTGTTCCAGTTCACTATATTCCAGTCACAAGTAAAAGTATGTGAAAATTATATTATAGTGGCAGCCTTTCTCCCTTCATCAAACACAACATACAGGAATTTAAAGGGGAAAATTCTTCTTAGGCCCACTGACTTTTTTACTTTTGCTTTCTCTTTTCTTTATCATTCCCTTTGGTTCCTGAATATATAGCTAGGCATATTTGCCTAAATGAAGGAACCATTTTGGTTACCTGAGAAATATGAAGTTTCCTACTGTGGACAGAGTAGTTTTCAAAAACTAGTGTCTCTTTTCTCCTGTTGTATTTCCTGTGTTTGCACTGTGACATGGTTCTCTTAAATGGTCTTCTCTGTTAGGGAATCTTTTTAAACTTAGAACAAGACCAGACAGAAAGGCTCCATGAATATTCTATATGGAAAAGAGGTTCCTATTAGAGCAAATGCAGGTACTTCGTTGTAAAACGTTGATTTTCCTCTACAGATGGAGTCTGCATGTCATGGCTGGTGGTTGAGACACAATCCTGGATTGGAGCCTAACTAGTGATGCACCAGGACAGGGTAGGATGTACTTGGCTGTCAAATGATCTGCTTCTCCATATGACTTAACTGTTCCCAGGAGAGCTCTGGCTCTGTTCAGAAGGGAACCAGAGTTCTGGAAGCATTCAATGAGTGGAGTTGTGAAGTCTATGCTTCTATCACCACATTATCCAACTGAATGTTTATTTCTAATGTGCGATTTACTAAGGAGAGACACATTTCTTAGAAGCACTCAGGGAACTAAACACACATATGCTAACCTTATACAGAAGCATTTGGGAGACTTTTCAATATTAATGCAAAGTATAAATCAAGTAGCAAAGAGTAGGGTTTTCCTATGAGAGTCACCGCTGAACAGACTGGAGAGGCCCTGGAAGGAGCAATTACAGGAGGGGAAATATAAGCCCCGGAGTCTGATGGACAACGATTCAAGTTCTTGGTTTTTGTAAACTTGGGATAATTTTTTAATTTCCCTAGACCTTGGATTTCTTGTCTGTAAAATAGGGATAACAATACCTACCTCAAGTGGTCATTGTGACGATCATGTGAAATAAAGGTCTGGAACATACTAGGTGCTCAGTAGATGTTTGTGCTATGCCCCTTCTGTTTCCTACTATTCTGGCTCAGATTGGGCCAAATGATATAATATTCCTGGAGAGTCTTGATAATGAAAAGTATCTTCAGCCTGTATATGGGTTCAGAGAGAATGAGCAGCAAAGAGGAAGTTTTACATTAATGTGTGTTTGTTCTCTTGGTGTGATTATATTCTTAAAAAGTAACATGAAGAGCTTCTGTCCCTTCAGTATGCCATTATACACCTGAACAATCACCTGAAGTCAACCCTCACAGCAAAAAAGAAGCAAGATCCATTGACTAAGGGAAGTCTCTGACCCTAGAGTCATTCTGTGAAAGCATTCCTCTTCAGGTTTTATCAAAGATTGTTGCTCCATCTCATCTCCATTCAAGTTTCCTCTTTCTTGAAATATTCAACTCTGTTCTCTCACATTTTCTCTCAGCTATCAGGCCCTGCTCCTTCTTTTCAAAGTACTTCTTGAATTTCATTTGAATAGGAGGATTTCTACCCCTCCCCTGCCGATCCAAGGCAACAGTAGAAAGGAAAACCTCCATCCCCTCTAACTAGATATGCTGCTCATGCTATATAAGGAAGTTATATATTTTATTTATAAAATAAATAAATTTTTATTCAATTTATTTGCATGGTCCTCTCCTTTGTAATGGTTCAGTTGAGAAATGTCGTATTAATGCCAAAGTTTTGGCTTAAAATGTCTTCTTAGGAGAGAACTTTATAAGAAGCTATTTGGCAGTCCCTTCATATTTCACCAAAAGGAAGCTGATGTTCATATGCTAGAGTGTGTTAGTGTGTGTTTGTGTGTGGTATAAATAAGTATATCATACATGCCATGGGTGAAAGAAAGACTCACTCACCTCTGCTAGGGGAGGAGTTGGAGTGTTCCATTCACCACTAGCCAGGATCTCTACTCACCAGTGCCCCTGAAAATGCAACACAACAACCAACACTGAATGGACAATTTCATGACCACAACTGAGGCCTGACACAAGATTTGCTATACTCTGGTGCTGAAGGTTCTAAGAACTGTGAATCCCAAGATCCCTGTTAAGGTGTCTGCCTCAGTTCCTTCTTTGAGGAAATAGAGAAGCAGGGTTTGCCTGAATGCTCCCTCCAGACACCAAGGAAAAGGTGTTAGGGACAGCCAGCAAATACTTACCAGACCACCTTCAGGAAGGACATTTGTCATGAGATAAAACAAACAAGCTCTTTCTTCTACTTGACTTGATGAATATTTCCACTGCCCGGGGAGAAGATGGAAACTTCTCCTCATCTGTGCTTCAGGACTGGGAACACAGACAAACATTAGCACAAAGGACACACAAGCTATTGGGACTATCTTGGAGCCCAACCAAGGAGCAGATTCAGAGGCAAGGATAGGAGAGCTCCTAACAGTGTGCAGACAGTGTATCTGCAGCTCTTCAGCTCAAGTTGTGTGCCTCTGGGATGCTCCAACTACTTTGTTTACAGATTGGAGATATTTTTATCTCAACCTCCAATTAGAGGTAATTTTCTCTTCATACAAATTGTACCATCGAGTGTTTACTTCCTGGCAGCACCAAAGAGAGACCAGAGCCTCTGCAATCTCTCTCTTGTCCTGCAGGGAATCTTGCATTTTTTTTTCAGAATCCCTTCCAGGGTCAATTCCCTACTGCACAGTTTGGGGAAGAGGCAAGTTCTTCCTGATGGTCTTGGGCCCAGGGTTTGGGCTGGTAACTTGTACTGCTCCTTTCTTTCCAAGGGTGGAAGGGTATTTTTTCTACTTGCCATTGCAGAGTTTCTGGATAGCCTGTTCCAGGACTGGAAATAGTGAGTATTTGATTCTATTTCCCAGATCTCTAATGTGATGAGGATTATACCCCAAGCCTTTTTCCCCCCAGAGATTATTTAATATCATGTCTTTTAAGCAAGTAGATAAAGACTCTAGAGAGGATTCTGAAGTTTCTCTTTAATCCCTTGGAATTGTATTCCAACAAATTTAGGATTAGGAGGAGTGGATGTGTTTGGTCCTCTGTGATGATGTCAAGTCCTCAAAATACTCCATAAGACAGCAGAGATTTATTGCAGGTTGGAGGCTACTCTATCCCTACAAAGGACAGAGGACCATCTCCTGAGAATGTCTATATTCTGCACCCTTTATACTCAGAGGTCTCGCCTTATTCCCACCGTTCCTTCCAGGCAGTATTTTGTATTCTGGTCACACCTTGTTCTCTAGAATTGCACTGCCCAGTGTAGTCCAGGCCCAGCACTAGCAGATGCACAAGATAGACCCGGGAAGGGGTGGGAAATTCTACTAAGCATTAATATCTTCCTTGTGCACCTCCCCACAGCAATGGCCACCCCACTGCCACCAACCTAGA